AAAGAATAAATAGGTTAAACATCGAAGCGATTTTAAACATATACTGAGTTATATATATATATAGTATAGTTACTTTATTAAGTATTTTATAATGATTTCATAATATTAAAAATATTTTAATGGAATTTTTAATTAAAAGTCAATCCTACCTTATCAAGAAATATGCTTTTACCACTACAATAAAACTCGCTTAAGACGCTCCCGCTTAAGACGTTTTCCGACATAAGACGTATTTTTTGTCGGTCCTTAGACATTTCCTATACTATTTGATGTAAAAACCACCTGTTAAGATGCTCGATTTTTCTCTATCTCATTAGATAAAACGCTCTTTTGTTTAACAGATTATTATCAATATTAGTAGGTTTGTGGAAATAAAAATAGAAATTTTACTTGTTTACGTGTTCTTATTGTTGTATCGTTTTATTTTATCGCTATACCTATTTTATCATTTCCTATTATTATTATCTAGTATCTACTCCTACAGTTACTGATGGTTTGCAAAACCTAACAGAAATTCGAAAAGTATTATCCTCTCAGAAAATTCTGAAGAAATATTGGGTTGTCTAAACAAAATAGAAAACTTTCTTGCTCAAACACATTGTCAGCATCGTAAACAAACAAAAATAAATCAATTTTTTAATAAACAATTATAAAATATTTAATAATAATTTTTTTTTCGATTAAATTCAGTAGCAAAAAATATATGTACATATGTCTGTAATTACATATACATACGTAATTTATTAGTGTATTGCCTATTATCTGTTAAATTATATTCAATAATGAAAAAAATTAACTCCATATTTCAATCACTTTATTTTTTTTTCATTCCCGCGTAAAAAAGCTTTTCCGCTTAAAATGTTCTAGAAAGCTGGTCCCTTGAGAAGCGTCTTAAGCGAGTTTTACTGTATATTAGAACTATCAACCATCTTTAGAAGTATGAACTGATTCATCCGGTCTCTCCTACTCAGAACCATAATTTTTCTTTTTAGAACACTGATACATTGATTTTCAGCTTAAAATACCAATACGAAAATAACATTCATATACTCCTATATCTTATTTGACCAAAAGTGTGTCACCCGTTTTTCACATAACATATTTTAATATTATTTTAGTCTTTCATGAACATTTATGGTTCTTGAAAGTATGACAGAAATAAACATTTTATTCTTATGGAATTTATTTTGACTGAACTGTATCCTATATAGAATATGTAATTATATTAAGTAGATATTCTAGTTCAAAAAGAAATCCTAAATACGAAAAATCGAGATACAATTTTCTAATCTGGGGTTTTTGACTGTTAATTAATACGTGCGAAGGTACTCGGCTGCAAATAATGCTAGATAATACCATCCTTACGAATTTACAAGTCACTATGGTGATTCAATAAATTTTTTCTATTTTTTGTTTCAGTAAAGATAAAAATATCATTTGTAATTTTTTTCAAGTAAGCCAAACATACTGTACCTCAAGATTTACAACTAGTGGATTTATTATGATAATTTTACTACGTCACACAATATATGTTCCGTAGAAGCGCCTTATGGTTGGTTATATACTAATTTAAAGTGGAGTGTTAATGGAAACTACATTATCCTACCACTTTAGATGAGTGAATCTCAATGGAACCTTCATACAACTAACACCATATATTGCAACTAACTATATATACATTCAACATGTAGTAGGTACTCGTGTGTTTTATATTATACTCATTGTTATTTCGAAGAAGAAAAAAAATCATAATAATAAACGTATTTTTATTATATACATTATATAGTATTTACTATTTTTACTATATTTTTTTATTTTAAATATAACTCACAAAAATAAAATTCAAGTGATATAACCAAAATTCGTTCGTATTAATATAATGTCTTCATGGCTTATTCGAAAAGACGCACTACACACAGACTCAAAAAATATCTATGATCTAAACAAACGTTAGAGGGATATATTGATACAATTTTTCGATCAGTTGTACAAGTAAGCGGGCCTCAAAATAACAAATGATCATCCAAATACTTTTAGGCTCCAATGTGGTCATCCTCACAATGATCTAGATTAACTTTTTATTTTATATATGTTATTATTATTATTATTATTTATTTTTCTTTCTATTTTTCATCATTCATTTAAATTTATGAATTTTAGAAAATCCTTCGTATACGGTTATACTTTAACAATGGCAAAAAAAAAAAAAGGCCCTTTTGTGTAAATCCCTAAACGTCAAATGTCGAAATATTAATTTATGCCTTCGTAATACATACATTATGAGACATAAAAAGTACAGCAGTGGTTAATGATTCTCTAAAAGTTTCACTTTTAACCAACGTTGTTCCGAAACCAGCACAAGACTTTGCCAAAAGTATTAAATTCAAGTTTGCCTGACGCCAACTATTTGATCATTATAAAATAATATTCACCAAAACATGCGTCTGAATCGTAAACATTTATATCATTTGCATTTCAGAAACAAATGCTGTAGTGAAATTACAACCCATAGCGTAAAATTAATTCGTCCACGGATAATTATCAATATACACATGTGTAATTTATGTGTGTTTATTCAATTTTTTATTTGTTAATTTTTAATCCGGATACTTCCAAACCTACTTACTTTTTTTGCTCGACTTAAATGGCATTTATAAATGTAATAAAAAACAAAAATGAATACATTTCTACTCTGGTTTATATGTGCACGCGATTTCGTGTATGATTTTTACCGTAATTCACGTATTTCTAAAACATAGATAACATATATATATATATAAATTTATTGCTATAGCATTAATTTATTTAATTGATATATTTTGTACTTTTGGAGCACCTTCAATTATTCAGTCAGACAACGACCGTGAGTTCGTTAATTGTATAATTGATAAATTAAAAAATATGTGATCACAGCTTATGATTGTACATGGGAAACCTCGCCACCCTCAGAGTCAAGGAATTATTGAAAGGGCAAACTGAGATGTGAAAGATATTTTAAGTGCGTGAATTTCGGACAATAAGTTCAATAAATAGAGTGGAGGTCTTCGATTTTACCAGTTAAACAATTAAACAATTAAACAATCATCATTTGAGGTTTTATTCAGCAGAAAAGCACAACTTGGCCTCACTTCAAGTGCCCTACCTTAGAATATATTCAAAATATTAAATTCTGAGAATGATTTAGAGCAAGCAATTTCTTCATTAGAGCTAATTAATTATGAATTAACTGAAACAGAAGTAAATGAAGATAATATATTAGAGCAGGTCTAAACTGCAAGTGAAAATAATATTTTAGCGCAGCCCTCAAATGCAAGTGAATCGGTATTAGAAGAAATTATAATTGTGCGAAGTAAAATAAATAAAAATAAAAAGCTAGCTGTAAGTTCATTACATCACCAAGCAAAACGAATGAAAACTGATAGTATCTTAAAGTATCCAGTCGTTTCAATCGGTACAAATATAACGTTACCTGTATCAGATGTAGATAGAAGTAAAGGAGATTCAAAAAATATCATAGGTAATACATTATTTTATATTTATAAATAATAATCATATTAGTAAGTGATGTACTTTCATTTTATTAGGTGTTATAATGGAAGTAACGACGGACGACTTGTATAAAATTGGTACTAAAAATGGCATTATTTCACAACTATTTAGTCGTAACCAATTTTCATTTTGTGATGGGGTAAATATATTAAATATAAATGATACACCTACTGATAAAATTTTTCTAAAAGTTGCAAATTCAAAAGAATCAATGTTTGAAGGGCAAGGTTTTTATAAATGTTTTTATACACGTAAATGCTATAATAATAAATTTATATGTAAAAAAAAAAATGTAATATGCAATTCACTCTGTCATAACTTACTTGATTGTAAGAACAAATAATGATAAAGTATATGTAATTAATAATTATATCTGATTTTAGTAATATGTAATTTTATAATAATATTTTTACTTTTTTCATTTTTTTTTTTTTTTTTTATATAAAATAGAATAATATTTACATCACATGAATAATATGAAGAGGGAGGCTATCCAGTGACAGTACCCTCAGGTGAATATTTTTTTTTATACGAAAAATTGTAATTTATATAATATGTTTTTAAATGAGATTTGTACAATGATTGTATACATTTCGCAATTTGTACAGTGATTATTAAACAAATCGCGAATCGTATAATGAACTTGTACAATCTAGTTACTTTGTACAGCAACATTGTGCAATTCGCAATGTATACAAAAAATCACTGTACAAATTGCGAAATGTACAATTCCAGACTTTATATATAACATGTATATATATATATATATATATTAAGTTGAAAAACATTAAAAAAATGTAATTATGAATTAAATTCATTTTTGATCATGTTGTTTACATATTTATGTATGGTTATATTATAGTCATTCCTAAAATAATTAAATTATATGCATATTTTAGTCATTACAATTAAGTCATACAATTTTTTTTTTTTTAACAAAATAAATATATAGATTATATAGTCATAAACTATAAATATCTTCTAAAGTATTTATATCATATCATATATCATATATTATATCTTCTAAAGTATATTAAATATTTCTATAGGAAATTAATATTTAGTGAACATTTTTCAGTATGTCAATAATAGGTGAATTATACTATAAACTATATGCTATTACCGTGTGGATTATATAATTTATTTAAGTTAATCTGTAATATGATTTTCAATACTTTTTTCATTTATTTTAACATTCTAAAAATTTGTCATTATTTGGTATTTTGTTATTATGTTACATTATGAGCATGTGTATACAATTGCTTTTATTTTTTCATTAACTCACTGTATTCACTTTTTTCTTGAAAACTACCCTGATACACGCGTATTAATTACTAATTTAATCGTTTGTCAACATTTCTGTTTGGCCTTACTGAACTATAAAATATCAATCATTTTTTAAAAAAAAAAACAATTTCACATCGATATATTTATATAAAATTGTTAGTTACCTGAGTTGTACCAATTTCAAATGCTATTTGTGCTATCACTCCAGGTCCGTCAACCGTTAGACCATTATCTTCAGGTCCCCACGATCCACTATATATATCCACTAATGATAAAGCGTTTATTAATGCTTTAGCTTCCATTTCATCGTCTGTTTTACCATCCAGTAATACAACACCTGTAATTTGAAATTAAAATTCTGAAAAATAAACTAGCGTGACTATAAACCACTTGCAAAAATAATTTACATCATGATATTAACATTCCAGCTTTTATTATATATTAGTCATTGTTTTTCAATGAACACAAATAAAAAAGACTAACAAAATATCCATCCTAATAGTATACAATAGATTTAAGTTTGCCTTGCTTATTATTGTATAATAATAATAATTATAAATTAATTAATTGCACAGCAAATTAATGTATTGATTAATAAATTTTACGGCATTAAGATTAAAATGAAATAAGTTATACGCGAACGATCATCAAACTGTATGCGTGTACTACAATTTAATGATATATTGATTATTTATAATGAAATTAATGTATCACTATAGATTGAAATGTTATTATAAATGTTTTATGATTGTTACAAATATTTATACTCAAGAGTTACAAATATTTTTTTATATTACTATATAAAAAAATTCACATATGTATTTAATATTATTGCTGAGTGCTTACATATAAATCTTGACATCACGAATGTAATTTTATTCTTTCAAAAAAAAGTATTCGAAAATAAAATATTAATACTTTGTTAATACTTTACAAAAATGAAATATTAGGATCGTAACTTTAAACTACAGGACACTTAGAAATAATAAAAAAACAACTTCTATAAAAGGATGAATCACTTTTAAGGATATAAAAAGTAAGCTTACTTTTCTAATATAATTGAAAATGTCTTTCGCAGAAATTTATTTTTGCTATTAAAAAGCATCCACGAATAAAAATGTTAGTATTTTGAATTAATTAATCACTTATTTACTTATTAGTAATTTATATTATAATTCTTATTCTATGATTATGTATTTATAACATAAAATCGAGTTTCTTATAAATAATATAAAAATCATAAAAATATATATTTATATAGGTATATATTTTAAAACAAAATACTCAGATCATTTAATAAAATCAGTAAAAAAACACTATATCTCTTTAAAAATAAGTTAGTGTTAATATTGAAAATTCAAATAATGATTTTTTTTTTTTTTTTTTAATTATTGCTAATATTAATTGCAATTTAACTAATTATACAATACAACTAAAAAAAATTTGTTGTTAAAAAAAATCGTGTAGCCATTTTTATTTAAATGTAATATGTAATATTTTATACAAAAATAATGGTTTTAGAACTAATATTAAATAATATTTCTTTAAACGAAACTATAATATTGTAACATTTTTAATGTTAAGAACTATCAATGATCTTTTTGGATCAATGTAGAAAACAATTAATATACATAAATATTAACTAAGAATTATAAGGTTTTAAAAATGTAACACCTTATGAATTCATCCTCCATTTTCAAAATATTCAAATTGTAATTCCGACCGAACTGAAAAATTATAACATAATATAATACTTACCTCCTACTTTTGCATTATAGGCAACGCCTACGCCACACTTTTTATTATTTGCGGCCATTGCTATTTCTCCGGCACACCGTGTACCATGAAAATTCATCGGATCTTCATACCTAGGTATAGGGTCCTTTTTATTCCAGTTCAAATTTATGCTTATTTCTTTATCCTGATACAAACGTTTATGATAAGAAAATTGAAAGAACATTTTATAAAAAACATAAAAACATAGTAAATATTATAATAAAATACACTGTCGTTAAACTTTGCTTATTATATAAACAATGAAGTATGCTATTCATACTTTAAAATTTGAAGATTTTTCGAAAAAAACCAACAATAAATATATGTTAATAAAATGTAATTAATACAATTAATTAATTTATAAATAATGGAAATATTTTATTTTTATTTTGGTAGATTATATTCTTATGATAAGACTTTACGGCATATTAACATAAAATTAAATCTTAATCATAATTCAAGTTAAAATATTTAATCAATCAGACATAAGTTAAAATTAATATGCATACATTATGCATGACTTTTTTAATATTTGAGATGTGTGATACATTAAAAGTTCTCTTAAAAGTTCTTTTCTAAAATGATTTACGTTCCGGTGAATTACCTGGAATGTATCAGTTGTACATTCAAATTACTTTGGGAAGTGTCAAATCTTCGTGATGTATCTTATTTTATATATTTATAAATTATATTCCTTATATATTCTTTATTTTGATTATTAACTAAACAGATAACCCTTTGCTTAGCTAAGTTGTTAGGTTACCGTTTAATTGTTTGCTATTATGAAGAATAATTTTAGATATTTCTTCAGATTATCCCGGCAAAGATTAAACGCATCATAATTGCAGCATATCCCTCTGTAATATATGCACACAACGTAAGCCATCGCTGAAAACACCTACCTCGGCAATGACAAAACGTTTTTCCCGGAAAAGGTATAACACCACACACAGAAATATACATATTACACACAGATTGCTTTTTTCAACTTCAAACTTCATTTTTTAACAAATCACCTACAAATTAAATACCTTAACTTAACCATAAACATCGTCGAGAAAATTGTTAAGGGCTTCGGTGTGTATTATTAATAGTTTGAAGATGATTACAATACAATCATATTATAAAATAATGATTATATAATTAACACTAAAAGAATCAGGAAAACCATATTTTAGATCAAACACCAATCAAGTAAGATCCTAAATAAAAGCTAAAAGTTTTACGTAGCAACACTGTATACGAAAGACATTGTATATGTATTATACTGTGTGTTTTACCAAGTTCAAACATTTGAAAAAGAAAAAAAAACAAAATGGAATTTATCACGAAATTGTTTCAATAATGAGATTATAATCGTTTAAAAATATAATAATGTCGTCACTTTGATCATTCTTGATAAATTAAATTATAAATCCATGCCTATAATTTCAGCCTACATCATGTGTTTTTAATATACATGTTTTTAACGACAATATTTGCATATGAAATTCGATCAAATCAAAAATCCTTTTTTATTTAATTTACCAAACATGACATTTTCAGGACTCGAACACCAAAATATTCATTATTTATACTTAATACCACTGCGCATTCCCTTGGAGCAATAGTTCGGAACTTCTCGTTTTTTGATTTTTTTTTCGATACAAAATTATTATGTACTTTTCCTTGATCTTTTAAAGTTTTTTTAAAAATATGTAGTGAGTTTTAATCCCTATATGTTTTTAATGTTGTTTATAAATACTTTTGTAAATTAGGCAGCAAGTCTTTGATATTTTATAAGCAGATAAAGTTTTTTTTTTGTTTATTATTATTAAAAAAAGAATATATACAAACTACATGCACAATAAGAAAATGTAGTCAAATTAAACAAATTAATAATAAGAAAATAATTGAGAATAAAGACCGTCCGGTGATGTAAGTCTCTAACGATGTATTATTTTATAATATATATATATTAAATTTTTAGATTCTTAAAAAGATTAAAAATAAAGTATTCTGCTTATTATTAATTTTTTATTTTATTTTTAGCAAAAAAAAAGATAACTGAGTCTCAATATTTAAGATGGGGGATAAAAAACAATCTTATTTAATTGTAGCCTACCTATTGTAAATGTTTTGTAATAATTTTTTGTTAATCGGTTAAAGGTAGATATGATGAGGCTAGTTAATCTTGAATGGTACGAATTCGGAATGATTTGATACCATCACAAATTTTTGTGCCGTATCCCTCTATGGCTGTTAGTAAAGATTTATATACAATAATTTTACTTTAAATAGAAAGTTTTGATTTGAGTATGAGGCATAGTGGATGTAAGCGGCTATTAAATGTATTGCGTAAGATTTTCAGTTAAGGAGGCCTTCAGTTAGTTTTTTTGTAAAATATTATTCTTGATATTTGACCTTGGAACATTTTAGAATAGTGATCTTTACAAATAGAGTTTGATGAAGTTTTTTTTTTATTATTATGTGAATGGCACTGTATAGATATGTTGGCATTTATTATTAAACGCAAGCTTTAAGACTATTAATTTAACGAAGAATAAGTTAAAGAGTATAAGTGACTGTGATAAGAAACAAATAAAGTTCAAGGATATGATGAAAAGAAAATGTAAATTTTTTCATCATATTGCTGCTTGCATATGTTTAACAGTATTCGTTTTAATGCAGATTTGTGTATATTTTTTTGAAAAAACAATATATGTTCATAATTCAAAAGAGTTGTTTTATGCAATGAATTTTCATATTTTCACGATTTTCATTACTAAAAAGTATATCATCAGCTCTTGGTCGTAAACCATGGTCGAATTAAATTTAAACATTAATATGATGACAAATTATATTTTTGTTCTAAAATATGTACCTAAAATATTATTTACATAATAATATTTATTTATTTATTTTAATTTATTTGATATATACGTTGCTCTTTGAAAATTAAGATTAATGGCACATAAGAGCATTACAAGTTTATATATTTTATCAAAACCTAAATAATAACAACAATATATAACCTACATAGTGCATGTTCAATTTATAAATAAAATTATATCATAATTTAATCATTAAACTACACATACCTGCTCTTAATGTAATAACTGTTATTTGTAATTCTCAATTAAATGTTTTTACTCATATTAATGAAAATAAAATAAAACATTAAATATTATAATTAAACTATTATTTAACAAAAAAAATAAATTTAACAATGTAAAGTCTTCATACATTGTGAACTAAAATGGAAATTTTACAGTATTAATTTTAAAATTTTAAATTTGATCAGTTTATTGTTACTAAAAATGAAATTATTTGATAAAATTTTTTCAAAAACAATTGGATACATTTCTTGAAATAGACAATGTTGAAGTTAAAATACTGTAATTTGCATGAATACAAGTTTATTGTTAACAAATATATAAAAGTAAGCATGTGCCAAGATATTTGTAAATTTAAAAATCACATTTGTTTATTTACCTGTACAAACATATATTAAATTAAAAATTGTTGTATGACTATATAAAACAGGTTGAACTTGATCATAGTTATATATTAACTGTTTTGGCAATTAAATATCCTCACTATACACGTGTTATTGAAATATGTTCACAAAACTAATAATAAAATGCACTTACGTAATTATTCTTCAGATCATCGTGAGTATATTCTATTCCATCGTCGATGATTGCTATCCGCACCCCCTTACCCGTGAATTTTAACTCTTTATACACCGGTACTAAATTCATATCCAACCGGATACCATCACTGTTATCTTTACCTCGATAATCTTGCTGAAATCAACAATAAATTAACAACCACGTTTTTCTCCTTCGACCGGGTATGACGTATTATGTTTAAAAGATTAGGTTAGATGATTAAAAAACTCATAAGGTTTAAAAGTTACTAAAAAGTTAAAAGAATATTATTTCATTGATTCGTCATTGTAAAGATATACATGAATACAATTACAAAAATATTTACAGAAGATGACAATTATCGGTTAAACGTTTTTTCTCGTTTATTTCATAACTCTGTTTAGGATTCGTACATAATCGATTCTTGCATATTGTTTGCACAATATATAATTTTTGATGACAAAAAAAATGAATCAAAAACTTCTCGAGCATTATAGTACTTGGTAGGTTTACATACCTGTAAATATCCTATAATTTTTTTATGGTTGAATGGGTTTGGAATTTAATCAAAATGCTCTAAGTTTGGTGGATTTTATAAAATAATGCATTTTAAAAACTCTCTCTATTATATATACATAAATATATATAATTTAATAATATATATATATATATATATTATACAAAGCAATCACCATCGAAGAAGAAAAATAACCTCGAATACAATGGACAATTTTTGTTTTCATATAAATTTAAAGTTAAAAAATAAAACAATTATATAACTACCTCGTACCATTGCAGATCCCAAAGTTCGTCGTCAAAATACTTCTCATATCTGCTGCGGACATCCGTCGGCACTCTTTTGTACAAGTTTCTCGTAAATCCCTGTTTAGCCCAATTCACCTAAAAGTTTTATCAATTTCACTAATCGACATATAATTTTATACCCAAGACTATACTGTATAAAACTGAATTTTAGCAATTCATTATAATTATGACATGAAGACGTTGAGTTAATAATATTATTTATTTATATGTCACTAACATCGGTTTAACTAAAAGAATAATTATGAACGATAAATGAATATATATTAAAATATGTATTAATGCTAAAGTTACTTTACTATAAATAAAACTTATCATATTTTTTGTTAACTAAATAGGAAAAAATATTATGCATTATATATTTATAATCTTTGTACTCCCTACAACTTAATACTATTACTATGTTTTTATAGCTTTAACTAATAGATATTATTGATGAGTAAATATTTTTCAGATTATACTGTCTGAAAAGAAACAAAAGTCTATTTGAAAAGTAGTTGATCTATGTATTATCTAAACTTCTACAATAAATTGTATGGATTCAAACAGAATACTTTAAAAAAAAAAACAATATTATGTCTTGATTATAATAGTAATTCAAAATACAAAAACAAATCATGGTATTAGTATGAATCTTTTAACAAAAGTATTAATTTTAATTCAAAGTTGTATGGAAATTGCATTCGTAAATTATATGATTATTACAAATCTATATACATATATTTATTTTTTTTAGTAACAGAATAGGTAAAAAACCTTCACTTTAAATTAATTTTAAATAATTAAACTAATTTTCTGTATGTCAACGCTTCATAACTAATGAACCACCTACTTAAAAAATAGACTCGTTAGTTATATAATATATTATAATAGGTATCCGGTGAATTGGTCGCCAAACAAAAATTATTTTTAAATATTTTTGAGTTATAATACTATACTACAGAATACATACAAGTAAAAATTAAATTAAAAATTAAAGTAAATAATTATAACTGATAATAATAAAATTTATATTAATGCTGTAATTGAAAATTATGAGCAATTCCTTTTAAAGTGAATTAATCGCGATTAAAATTATTCGCCATGTTAATTGATCGCCAAATATTTTTATAATTTAATAAACAATTTTAGATTTGATACAGATGAAAAGACAAATTTAAATAAAATTCAATGTTTTCAAAACATTGCGCTAAGAAAATTAATAAATGCTCCCCCATACATATCTAACCATACTCTCCATACAGACCTAAAATTAAAAACTATCCACGAGGAAGCTAAACACTTTTACAAAAGATTCCACAACCGTCTTTCCTCCCACTCAAATCCTTTAATTAAAAACCTTTCCTCCCTCTCAATCCCCGGCAGTCCTCCTAGACGATTAAAACGTGAATGGTATAGAGACCTGTTACAAATTGTAATATAGAAAAAAAAAAAAAAAATACTAACTTATTAAATATATTTAATTCATTTACATTTTTCATATAAACTATCAACATTTAAGTGTCATCATTGGGTGGCTTCTTTATTCACTTTTTGTATTTTGTATACTCATGTTATCTGTACCCCTTATCATATATGCTTATTGTGTCGTTTGATATAGATTGTATATTACGTATTAAAATAAAAAAAAAAAAAAAAAAGATTTGATACAAGAAAAAATTAAATTAAAAATAAAAGTAAATAATAATAATTGATAATTATAAAATTTATATTAATGCTGCACTCTTAATAAATTCCATTATTAAAAAATGAAAAATGCGATACAATTTAATACAAATTAATACGACTCAATACTTAAAGACACACTAGCATACTATACAAATATTATATAGTAGGTTTGTTGTACGGGTATAACCAATAGTTGAAGTAAAATACTAAAATGGAATTTTTGTTGTTCGAAAATTAATCGCCTTGAATATCAAGATTTATCGCCACGCTGAGTCATATTAGTCAAGTATAGTAAGTCAACAAAAGTCGTATAATTTTGATAAAACCTGTTTATAGCAATAATAGTTTTATCTTTGATAACTATAATTGATTACAAGTGTTACAACAAACGTTACATACCCATTGAGTTTATTGTATATACCTATATAATATATTAAATATCTACTGTTTATTCAATATTGATATACCTAGATAATGTATTTATATATATATTGGATCGAAAACCAGTATTAAAATGTTCAAAACTATTAAAAATTATTTTATTTGGCGATCAATTCACCGCGACCCATTATAATATTACATAAAATAGATTTTACAAAACAAATTTTAGTTACTATGAGAAAATCGATTGAAATAAAAGACCACATAAAATTATATTTATAATTTATCAAAATCAATATTAACTATTGACAAATAATTGAATTTCCAAAATGATACTTCAATTATATTTCTGTTATACAAATAGGTACGAGTAATATTATAATGTTTTTAATTATATATACATACTTTGTCATTTTGCTTTAAAATATTGGTCACATTATGAGATGGCTCATGATGAAATTCCGGATGATATTTCATTTTTACTTTATAAATATTTGGTATTCCGTGTACCTAGTATACAAATAATGACAATTTTTTCAAATTTCTGTAACGGATCAAATATTAATGATTATGTTATTCCTATAAGAAAACTAAACAAGAATTATGCGTGAATAATAAATTATTCAATTGTATGCGTTTTAAAATGATCCAGAGAGCATCTTATAATAAATAATAGCTATATTTATAGAGTACATCTGTAAAATGTGTACAGACATTTAAATTATTTAGAACGTTTTCATTGCCCTTCGAGATTTCAGGCAATCTGCTATCTGGTTGATGAACACTGGTTTTTCAACACTAATTACATTACAAAATATTATCCTTTAAACTATATCACTGTTAGCTATAAATTATAAATAATTATAAACAATAAAAGTTAGATTTTCTTTTAAAATCATTCCACTCAGTAACAGTTTCTTGTTAACTTGTGTGTAAATAAACGGAACAATTCCTTACATTATTCGTTTGATTAATGTAACGAGTTTGAATTGCTTAATGATTTTTTTTGTAATAATACTATTTAATATAAACTAGAGGGGATATTTTTTTACAGTTTACTTCATAAAAGTGTCATCAATGACTGTATTATTTCTTTCCGTGAAATATAAATAAATTAATTATTCTTACTGGTTTTGCATATGAAAAGCCTTGCATTACTATAGTTTCGTGAATTTCGTGCAGATTATCGTTCGTATGAAAATACCAATAGTTCGTGAAGTGTTTCACATCACTCGCACCGTGGTTCTATAAATAAAATTAATAAATTTTCATATTTTCAATCATTTGTTTTATTCTTATCGCCACCATAGATTTTGCACAAATATGAGTTAATTTTTATAAACCACTCTTATAAATACAAGTGTTTACTATTTCGTATTTATATTACAACCGTTTCAAACATCCAAGTTAGTATAGTATGAGATTTCAATATAGTTTTAAAATAAAATATTAGTATAGCTTTGTACCTATATATCACGTTTTTCATATAAAAAATGAATGTGAATATGTTATCTCTCAATTTGTATCTATTCAATCTGTGAAGAGAAAAACCAAAATCTGTTTTTAATTTATTTATTTTTTTTTTCATAAGATCAAACACATCAGCAATTTAATTATTTTATGAACACTTCTACAGAAATTATTATCTCATAGTGTCTTCATTGTAATTTATCCTGTATAAGTATGATATGAACACACATTTTATACATTATTATATATATATAATAATGTAACTCGATAATATATATGTACAACACTCATGTATCGTACGTTTTTGTTTTTTTTAATCAAAATGATTTCAATGATGTGAAGGTTGAATAAGTTTTGAAAAATTGATACAAATATTAATAACTATCTAAGATATAAAATATTAATACAAATATATACTACTGGGACATTCATGCAAAAATAATAATAATTATTTGACGAGTAAACAACACATCAAGTTTTTTTTAAATAATTAATATTTTAATTTTGTTCGTATTATATACTCCAGACGTTGCAGTGTGGTGTGTATATAATACTTATACTACTGCAACACATTTTTAGATTCTGAGTGAATTTCAATAATTTGTCATGTTTTTTTTTTTTTTTTTTAAATATTTTACATGATTTCGACCAGAAAAAATCACAACAATCATAAAAGATTTATGATAAAAACTTATGTCTTTTTGGTACATAAAAGAAAGGTAATTTTACAATTATCTCAATAGTTTACTAGATAGTTACGATAAAAACTGATAAATAGTTATATTAATAAGACAACACTTAGGTACGACATTTAGATCCTGACAAATTTGGATTTTCGTTTTCATTTGTATTCAAAATATTAAAATCAAAAATATGAAATTTTCAATAAATGCTTATATCCACGTTTAATATTAATGGCAATTAAAAAAAAATTAGGGCTATTTATAAAAAATTTAAATTTTCGTATTTTCTTGGCATTTTTTTAATAGGTTAACAAAATAATAATTTTTTTACCAAAATTATTTTGGTTAGACAAAAAAATCATGAAAATTTAATATGATGTTCCACATACATTTATTTCACTGTTGGTAAAAATGAGTTTTATGTCAAAATTTAAATTTGGGTTTTAGTGAGATTCCGGATTCGAAATCAGTTTTTTCGATATGAATCTAGTCATTAGTTTAAATATTAAATTTGAATAGAACAAAAAAAAACTAAGAAAATACAATACATTTTCCCAGTTATTAATTCATAACATTTTCAATTTTTATACTTTAAGATTGCAAATTGGATGTCATATTTTCTATATTGACAAAAAAAAATTTAAAAAAATACTGCATTATTAAATTAAATTTTGACCAAGTCGGATATTTTAGTGAATTTCCACTAAATATTATTGGCTGTTTTACAATAACATTGCATAGTTTTGAATTATTTCAATGAAGTTTATAATGTTTATATATTTTTTCGGTTGTCGCAAACGTAAGAACTTTAAAAGTTCAACTTAAGTTATTAAGAAATTTGGTTCTTTTACTATATTAGCCATTTTATAAAATATAAACTGTTTCACCTAGCCCCATTTACTTAGAATTATTTTTTCATGAGCGATGAATTTAAAATTTAAAAGACACATGTCATTTCCCCTATATTTTACCCAATCCTGGTGTCTCACCAGGATTATATTTCGCATTTTTTTTTTTTTTTATCTTCAGGCTTTCATCTGTGCGTGTGAGGCAACGTTGTAATGATCACTGATTGGATGGGCGGGCAACATTATAATTGGTTGGTTTGGGTCAAGAACAGAAATACTGCACGTGGTTCTGAATGTTTCCCATTGACAATAAATTTGCCTTAACCAAAAACTATACTCGTACAAAATGTGTTGCTTATTAGCAGATTATATTATAATTAATTTTCCAAATCGTACATGCTTATTTATACAAGACATTTCAATAATCAATTTTGTTATATCCTGAATGCGAACTTATTATATTTATACATATTTAAAATAAATCGATTTTGTAATAAACACAAACTAAAATTACAATTTTGGTTACAACTTAATTTATTCTAAAATAATTTATCCGAATAATGGCACCTATAATATAATAATACTGTATTAATATTTCATTTTTAATAGAAACCATAGTAATGAATCACATAATATCGTAAATATATTTCGAAATTCATCATATGGTTAAATTGTCAATATTAGTTCTACTATATACGAGTATATACTAGTTATATTACTTAAAATGCATTGAAAATTATATATTTAATAGTTAATAATATGAATTCAAGATGATTAAAAAAAAATTTTCATCGAATTTAAAAACACTGAATACTATTTCTACAAAATAGAGAAAAATTCCAAAAATTATCTTTTGTTCCACAAAAATATGTAAAATTAATAAAAAAAACTAGTTTATTAATTTGTTGAATAGGTGTTGTTAACATTAACAATTTTTCATAAAACTTCTGGGTATCGTTTGATAAGAGAATATAAATTTAATCGGAATTTTAAAATCTAAAATAAATACTTTTAAATGCGTATTAATGGCTTAATATTTAATTAAAATATATTTAAATCAAATTAATGTGAATATTATTATCAATTACTTTTTAGAACCAAATTTTTATTTTTATTTTTTATTTTTACATAATAACTGTCATAAAATAAATTAAAGATTTTTTTTTATGAATAGTTATAACATTAATATTGTTATTTTAATTTCAACTGTTAGCACGTATATTATCTACTCCAATTTACATAGCGCAATCATCATGTTTATATGTGCCAGTAAAACTCACGTTTAAATGAGTTCATACTTATTTTGGAGCTATTTAGAAGTTATTGTGATAAATGGAATTACCTTGCACGTATACAAAAACGAAATATAAATCAATTGCATGCATGTAAGAAAAAAATAAAGATTTATAAAATTATTCATTTGATGGACTACTTACAGCCATTATATGTTACTTTTTTCAAAAATATGGTAAACCATATTCAAATCAATTATAGTTAATTCATAATTTTCATTTGCAAAGATTTGTAGAGCGTATTTTATCATTTTTTTCCAATGACTCTAATAGTATTATTTCAATATCAATAGAACGGTTGTAATTAATAAATTTTATAAATTTTGATGGAAATATTCAAATATGTATTATTTTTTTATATGATAAACTACTACCATTTAACAATATTAAATTTATTAATCATGTTAGTTTTGCGACGCAATCAAATCTCAATTTTTCTTTACTTTTAAATAAGGTAGAACTAGTCGTCAACAAAACAGACGGAATACAAATTTTAATGAATATTATTCAATTAAATTCAACAAGATAAAACCATGTTATGGAAAGAAACACGATCACTACATGATTTATATAGGTAACATATGAAACCAATAAATCGCTATATAATAATTCAACCAGTTTAGGTACTTATTATTAATTAGGTATAAAATATGATGAGGGTATTCTAGAACGTTACATTAATTAAGATTTCTCTATGTTGGCTCACCTTAACCTATACATTTACTGAAGATTTTGGTGAACACAATATAAACAGTGAAATATCTATTAATGGACTTGAAAAAATAAAGGTTTGAATTTTTCTTTTGAAAAAGTTTATTTTTTTTTGGTAGATTTTCGTAAGATTATATATTCATTTTATATTCTAATATGTTTAAATTGAATAAAAACATTCAACAATAACATTCATTGTAATAATTGGGATCCATAAATTCGTATCATTCCAGTTTCCTCGTTCGACAAATCTAACGTTGACAAAATTAATTTTTTAACTTTGTATTTGTGTTCATTACTTAATATATTCTATACACTGATTATTTAATGATATTATAAATATTCATTGTTATTGACCTCTTACATATTTAATATTTATTTAATTTTTTAATATTTTATAATGGTTTTTTCGACATATCAACGTACACACAACATAACAAAATTATTTTTTGCATTTATTGCAATATGTTGCTTATAGGTTAATATAAGTTTATATTGATTACTGACCTATAATCGAATTTAATAAAATTAAAATATAATCTCCTATATAATTGAAACTACAGATTTATATATATATATATATATACAAAGTAGTATAAGAATGCTTATTTTTTTTTTTTATATTTTAATTAAACATTTCTAAGTTATAATTTATGGGTAATGTATGTTTGCTATGTATGGAAGACTTTATTACTAAGATACTATACTGATTACTAAGAAATTATTCAAATTAATTTACAAAGACTTAATGTAATTTCTTTGATCAATACAAAAGGTATTAACAATTTCTTTAACATTTATTATTGTATTTAATCGATATTCAATACCTGGATATATGTTTAATAACAAAACACTTTTTATACAAAAGAAAAATATCAATTTACTAATAATTTTATAATTTTAAATTTATATAACCCTGAAAGTAGTAATTCAAATATTGACAATGTCACATTAAAAAATCCAAAAATTTAACAGAACTGAAAACTGTAAAAAATTAATATTTCAATTTGAAATACAAAAATTGATATTACCACAGGATACTTCTTAAAATGTACAAAATATCATTGTGTTGGTAAGTATAGTCTATGTAATGTAATATAATGTATGTACATATACATTTTCGGTTAATAAGATTTGAAAAAAATTCATAATTTAAATGTAAAAAAATGAGCCAAGTACATTAAAAAATAAACATGTATATTAAATAATACTAGTTTTACATATCAAATCTTGAAATGCATATACTTATGCTTGATAATATGCTCATTAGCTTAAAATATTATATAAAAGACAAGAGTTTAAAATTATTTTAATGCTACAAATAAATCTATTATATCTGAAGAAAAATGTTTAAGGTGTATTCATTTCTGAATATTAAACAAGTTGTGTAACTATTAAACCAATCACTGATTACTTACATGATGTACTCTTAAATCGGATGAATCGATTAAATAATTTCCATTGACAAAATAAAAATATTCGATTAAATATAGTAAACCAACAACAACTTTTATTTTCATTCTGAAAAAAAAAAAATTACGTGAAATATTATTATGTGAATATTTGTATATAACTTATGGAATACCTACTACTTAGGTAAGTAATAATGACTCATAACATAAATAATCTTTAGAAATATATTTAAACCTTCTCCAAAAAATCAATATATACACTAGGTTCATAATGTGTTTTGTCTAGATGAAATTTTCATTGCAAACAAAACTGCAAGTATTTATCTGATATTTTTAAGAAACTCATTGTAATACAACCAAAAAACCTAAACTAGTATAATTTATGCAAAACATTTTGTACCAGACATTTGTACCATAGCTGTTAAAGAAGTTAAAAAGATTTTAATTTGATATATTCTACAAAAATATAAATAAATGTAAAAAGTTCAATAAAATAGATAAACAGTTTTAAACACAAACAAAAATAATTTTAAAATGTGATATAAGTATAGTTAGACATTATAAACTAAAGATAGTATTTAAAGTGGTATCTGTGTGTTGTAACTTTTTTTAATTTCATTCTTTATTTTAACAAAAAATTATAAAAATATCTCGATATCTTTATCATTATTTCTTAATAGTATTTTAAATATTTATATGCAATTCCTTAATTATTAGGAAGCATTAACGTTATATTTTTACAAACAAGATAGCTCTGAATTATATTTCTCTATATTAGTTATTATGATTTTAAATCATTAATTTATAGTATGTAGTTAAAAATAATATATATTGACTAATTTCTGAATAAAGCAATTGGTAATAACATTCTCGAAAAATAAAATATGTATTAAATAATCTAAGTCTAATACAACTACTTCATATATTTACTACAATAATAGAAAATTGGCTGTAGGATAAACTTAATTTCTTTCAAGTACTCTGTTTTATTAAAATGTCCAATCTAAAACAATTTAACTAATAACTTTTTGCAGTGGATTAAGCTTTAGTCAAGGCAATTTTATAAATAATCTACTGAGTGTAGAGAAAATAAATATATAATTTAAATACATCTATAGCTTTTAGAATAATTTTACTGGCTATAGATATTTTTTAACTGCAATATTCTTTTGATAACTAAACTTTTAGATGTTTGAAAAACAATTTAAAAATTATTTACATACCTAGATGGTTAAAAAAAAAAAACAGTATTATAAAATACATTGTACCATAAGTTATATGTTATTTTAATCCAATTAAATCTTAAGTAATACAGCGCACATCGGTATTTTAATTAAATTCTTCAAATTACGCATTTGTAAGCTAATTAATTTTCAAAAGTTTTTTTTTTATAATCATAAATACTATACAATGTTGTGTCTATCAACATGTTATAGTAACGGTCACACAAAAAGTATTATTCAAGTTAAATTAAAAAAGATAAGTCAAGAAATACCTATTACATTACTACGTAAGTAAGAATACTCTGTGGTATACCTTTTTTAACTGATTTATTAACAAATAAAATAACTAACAATAAATGTCTCAATGTCCTTTGTAATTCAATAAAACATTAAATGTAATATTGAGTTCAAAAATATAATTTTTGAATAAAAAACTAAAAAAAAAAAAGTCGAGATAAACGTGTTCATGAGAAATTGCATCATCGATAATTGTATATTATTTTTATCAACTGTATAATCACACTTTATTGCACACATTTAAATACATACACCTGACCTATTTTCACCATTATTTGTTGATATAATATCACCATCGGTTACAGACCACCATGTTTTCACTCGATGGACAGCTCAAAATTTGTCAATTATAATTATATACCTATAATCATAGAACAAGTAGCACAAATGTGAAACACTTTTTGTCTCTGGAAAATATTGAGAAACTCTGTGATCTTCCATATCCAGCACTGAATATCATTATTACATGTTATGGTGTACACAAATTAATATTATAAATAATTAATTAAAATACATATGCCTTTATTTGTATATTACTTATGTGTATTCTAGTAATCTCAAGTAAAAGTTCCAATTTGGAACTAACGGAATGTACTTTAAACAACCACGCTTTTTAACCATAACTCTAAAAATTCTATGCAATACACACATACATATATATATGGTTCACCTCGTTTAGATACATATCGTCTTTTTTGACACTTACTTTTTAATTTCAAAAAGTAGTATAGCTTAACTTGAGAATACTTCATCTGTTAAGGTACTGCAGAAAATGTACTACATTTTTATGGGATATTAACGTCGTTTTATTATTCTTAAAAAGCAACTTTACCGGTATACTTTACTATTTCCACACTAAAAATTGAGATTATAAAAAAAAAACATGGGTGTGTCAATGTACCTACGTGATCATTAAAGTGCATTCAATGTATTCGACATGTGAAAAACAGTAAAAATAACATTTTATAATTAACTTCATATAACACAATCTAACATATCGTATAATAAATATGTAATATTCTCTTCGTACCCAATTTAAAATGTATCATTAATATTATTCCACATTTAAAACTATATATAGTATTGAAACTTTTTTTCTTATCGATTTTTATGAGGGCATTTTAACGTAAATATTCAGTAGTAATGTTTCATGCGTTATTCACAATTGAGTCTCTGGACGATTTTGTGTATTTTATATGACATAAATTATTCAACGATATAGTAAAAGTACACTATAATTATCGAATTCGATATTTTTTAGCAAATACGTCACAACATAATATTACGTGACATCACGTCATAAAAATTTCAAATCTCGAATTTTTAATTCTGCCTCGTGTCATTATTTTAGATACCTATACTTTACTCACATATAAAATATACCTTTTATTTTAACCATTATTCAATGAAGTTCTTGAAATAATTCAATCCTCAAAAATCATCGTATTTTTGATGTTTTTATTTTATTTTTTTTTCACTTTTATTGATTAAAATATATTTTTAGTGTATGAAACAAAAATATTCGTATAATACAATTTATCAAGGTATTTACAAAAAACTGTTTTGACACTTGATTTAATCACAAAAATAGAAATTAAATAATATTTATTTGATTTGTTAATTGTTCGGTAAAATTATTCATGATAATGTTATGTAAATTTTAACCTTTTTTCTTTGATTTCAACAATTATTTATTCTACAATATTTATCAAACATAAAAATGTTGTATTAATATATAAATATCTTAAAATATTTTAAGTGTGTAAATAGAGTTTTGTAAAATTATAAATACATTTTTACTTAACTCAAGAAATATTTATTATCTTTAAATGTATTAATATTTTACTTCATTAATAATTATAAACCTTTGATTATAATATACTTTGGTTACTGTATTCAAACATAAAATTATTACAATTTTGAAATTTGGAAATTTCATTATATCATTCAATTAATTCAATATAGATCAAGAGATCGATTTGATTTATCGCATGTCAATATTATTTTATTTAATATAATATTGAAACTTAAACAGTTCAATAGATCATTCGTAAATCAAAATATCATTACGCCTCAAATATGATTCAAATTATAATCTTTGGGTCCACTTTCGCTGACGTTAATTATTGATATATTAGGGTTTTAAATAAAAATAAATATGTTATATTTAATGAACTATTTTAATACACTGTATTAAAAAGTACATAGCGGCTTAGAGAAAAATGTTATTTTTATTCAGTATTAGAATGATTATAAAGTACCATTTTAATACCTATACTTGATTTTTCGTAATAATTAAATATGATAGTTAAAGATTATAATTTAAAAATATGTAGCATATGAGTGAATAAAATTTTTAAATTTTACAAACAAAAAAAATGTACAAAAGATTTACAGAGATATGAAAAACTTGTGTTTAAAAAGATTACTTCTCTTCATATATATATATATATATATATATATATATATATATATATTAGTTTCTTTATTGGGCATTAAAGAACATTTTGTATTTTCCACATGAATGGCTGAACAAATTTATAACATTGACGTGCCTTAAGAGTCAATTTAAGAATACATTGTATACTTTTGTTTTACGAACAAAATTTATTTTTTTTTTATATATTAGAACCTTTAGTGTAAACTATTACAGTTCGACAATTAAAATAATGTTAAATTTCACAATTAATATATAAAAACTTAACAAAATAAGAAAAATAAACACAATTATTATAATGAAAATAAAAATATTGAAGATAGTTAATTATAATATAGATAAGCATTACAATAGAAAGTTTCTTATTTTAATTTTTAGAGATGTGGTTGTTAGCTATTCGGCTAACAGGTAAACATAAAATACAATTATAACTTAGGAATAATATTGTAGCATGAAATCGATAATTAGGTAATTAGATAAGAATATGAAATTAAATAGTACACAATTTGATGTACTTACAATGATATATGGAATTACAGTTGACCTTTATTTAATAATGACATAAGGAGTGATAGGAGGGGTTTTATAATCGCAGTGAATTCGGTAAAGAAAGAAATAAATAAAGTTTCTATATTAAGAGATAAGTGGGAGTGTTTATAATTGGCGGAAGTAGCTTCGGCATATGATGGTTTATCAGTATTGGAATTTAAGGTGGATTTAGGAAAGTTAATATGAGATTTCAGAGTATAAATGAAGTGTTCACGATGAGGTGGTCTATTATTAAGTTTTTTATAAACAGTACAACCTTTGTAATTTGCTGGGTGACTACCTTGGCATAAAGCACATCTGGCCGGAGATTCTGGTGACATAGTGCATACGTCAGATCTATGTTCTTCGCCATATCTGATGCATTGTGGAACGTGGTTGCAGTAACCCTGAGTGTGCCCGTAAGCTAGACAGCGGTGGCATTGAGGTGGGCCTTTACGTGGATAGGGTTTTTCGACAATAATTTTTGTGTGTAGAAGATACTCGATTCTGTATAAATCTATATATTGTTAGTGGCTTTTTTGAGGTCGACGAAAAAGAGAGGCAGAGGTGATTTATCGGAAGAGCGCTTAATGTTATGAACGTGGTTGAACGTGTAACCTGGTG